GCAAAGTTATCCGTATTAAAATTAATTTTCTCTTTTCTCCGCTGAAATTAATTTATCTCTTTTATTTTCCAATATCTAATTCTTTTAAAATTAATCAGTTCACCACTCTTACATTTTATTATTTTTAAATCTCTTCGATATTTAACTCTCGCGCATAAAAACAAGCTATTCCACCACCTTCCCATTTTCCTAATTTTCAATTTCTGCGCAGAAATAAATCCTTTTTCATCATTTTTCTCTCTTTATCTTAAAAATTTCGAAATTTTTTCGTCAATATCCATTTTTAAACTTCAAAATTAATCAATTCTTCACTTTTCAATATACCGATTCTTAAATCCTTCCAAACATTTTACTTCTCCGCTGGTTTTAAATTTAACCATTCCTTAACTATATCTCTACTTCCCGATCCCCAAAACTTTTCCAATATCCGCGCAAAATTCATTTATTTCCTTCCTGTACCCCATTTTCCTCCCTCCTCTTTGTCAACTACGAATCTCTCCTTTTCTCCGTCAAAAGGTCAAAGAAATATATTCTCAAAAATATATTCCTGAATCCCATCGTATTGTCGATCAGAGCACACACTATCCAAGCACGTACACGTGAGATTTCCATTAATTTCCATACTCGTATCCCCGAGGATCGATTCCTAATGAAGCTTTTGTTAGGACGCAGGACAATAGTCGAATAAAAAGAACACGTATTCCCCTCTGTCCATATTTCCACCGATGAAAATTTCAAGACAACTTTCCATACGAACGAGGCTGTTAACAATGCACGACTAACTCCTCCAACCACCACTTCTCCCCAGATCTCGTGCCCATTCAAAAGGAATGGTCGGAAATATCGTGAACCATATCAAGGTTGCCTTCAGTATATTCGTTTAGGTTTACTTTGAAGTTTGTCACGTACTTTTTTCAGTTAAATTATCATTATTATATTATTAAATTTGTTGAATAGATGTACGTTCTGTGCATAAAGCTCGAGGGAATATCGATGAGTTATACAGAATGTCAATGTATTTGTGGAAATGGTTTGAAGAGTTGATTCTAGAGGTTAAAACAAATATATATAGAAGTTGGTATGCGGAAATGTCGATTGACATTATGTTATAAAACAGGTCTCTATCTATATCATTGTCTCACTTCATTTAATGGAAACTTAAATTATTTATAATTTAATAAATAATTAACTTTTATATTTCTTTTGATTTCCAGAATCTCTGCAAAAGTGTTCTATTCGATATTACATTAAGACTTTGTATACTAATAACATTTTGTATATTAATCTTGATGAAATTTTGTACAATTTTGTTCCATTGGATTAACTTCAAGTTTGTGTTAATTTTGATTCTCTGTATATATATATATATAAATTAAATTTTCATTGTGAAAGACAGATGTCAAAGACAAAAATAGTTTTAATTAAATGTTGCACAATTTTTATAAACTTAAAAGTTTGCGAGAAGAAATTATAATTTTCATTTAGTTTGCTGTTATAATTTGCTCTGGATATACGTAATACAATGTGTTTTCACTAATGGACGAGAAGCATATTAACAAACGGGGTTGGCAACGTTTACATATTAAAACAAACGAAGCCACTAGATGGCATTATTTCCAGCAAATGTGTTAACTCCCATTAAGGTCCAAGCAGAGAAATAATGTGTACAATTTGCGTAAACGTAACATTATTCAAACACGTTAATAAAGTAATTTACATATTGTTCCGGTCTCAAGGTTCGAGAAATTTATACTTCATAGAAATTTGCTATGCAAATCACAATTTCTATTATTAGTGAAAAAGAAATGATTCGTCACACCACTACATAATATGATATTTCAATTTTCCCTTTAAACTTTATAAAAATTTATATTAGATATAAAGTTTGAAAAATAAATAGTGGGGGAAAAAATGTTTGTGTTTAGCTTTACAAATTTCTTTTTATAATTTCGATATTGGAAAAATAAGGAAATGAAATATTGCTTTTACGCAACGTTGATCTTTGTCGCTTTTATCTCGATCAATTTCACTCTATTTCCTTCTCGATCATCGAATATAACTCGCCACTGAATTCGTTAATCCACTCTTCTCGAATGAAAAGATGAAAGAAGGTGAAAAAGGAGAGGGATATTGAATAAACTTTAAAGGATCGACATTTTCCAGGTCGAACAGGTGGTGATCTTCTTTTTTATTTAAATAATCACTGTGTTATACCTCGAGCTTAGTCGAGACAAGGAACTCCTTGAGATAAAGGCAACATGGATGCACTTAAAGAGCGATTAAAACTGAAATCCGCAGTACTCGCCGTTCCAACGTTAGTGGAAATATGAGAGGCTTTGGAAGTCTTTGGGATTTAGAAAGGGGTGAAATGGAAGGAGGAATGGAGCGGAGGGAATGTGACAGCTGTGCGCCATTTTGATTCTTGAAGTAATCTTTTTGTTCTGTAATCGTTAAAAGGTTTTTACGAAATACAAATGAATTTAAATATATAAAGATGTGTGTATAACGAAAATTAAAAATTTTTGGTATTGTTGTAATTCATATCAATGGTATTTTCTTTTCTTACAAGCTTTTTTTCAATATTTTTGGATTAATATACTTGATTATTAATCTTTTTGATTTCTAAAAAATATTTCATTTCGATTTAATTTTATTTTGTGTTCTCTTTTATTTCATGCATTTTCTGATAATTTTTTAACATAGAAAATTTGAAACTATTTAAGTAACAGATGATGAATTTG